TGTAACGATTCTTTCAGAATTTACTTTGAACCGTTCTCCTTGACGACAGGGACACTGTGTAAAAAATATTTTTGTACAGAGGAATTGTTTTTTAGCGTTTTTAATGTGGAAATGATGGAAACACCGAGACGAGTAGGTTTCTGGAATTAAATTTGTCCGATGGAATATGGAGTTAAATTAAATTGCACTGGAGAGGCGACTAAAGAGCGAAATTACTGTTATATATTAACGATTTGGTAAATAATTAGTGGAGGCATCCCTAGGACGCAGGTCTATGGACCGCCATAAATTGTTCGCCATATTCTAAAGGTCTCAGCAGCGAAGTAGTCTGAAAGAACCAACTTCTACCGAAGTGTTACAAGGTCTTGTGTAACATAAAAATGCACTATACACCGAAGAAAAATAGTTACATTCGTTAATACACGAATTCCAATTTTAATTAGTCAATTTCATCGACGAAACAAGCTCCGATTTGCTACTTCCTCGCAGAAAAAAGGCCTTCGAATGCAAAGGGTTAATGTAGACATACCAAAGCACGGGATTTTAGATCCTCATCTTCTCAAGATTCGATAAACTACGACATGAGAGCCGACCTTACGACCTTGCCATATTTCTTCCATCGACTATACGTTCCGCGCGTTCCCATAGAGGACACTGTGAATTCGTTGGAGAAGGCAAGAGACTCGGTCGTGTAAGAGGATGGTGAATTCGTTGAAATTCTTGCCGGCCAACCAACCGTAAGTAATATCGTGTACGAATTAATTGTGCGTTACATTATACCTCCGGTAGACCGTGAAACTTTTCGAGAGAAACGATTCGATATCGTTGAATCTAGTTAGGATTCGATGCCCCAATTCTGCCCGCTGCTTGTAATTAATAGGGTTGATTGAGTGTTACGAGATCCGGAACGTTATTGGATTTCTATGGATTTCAATTAATTGTGCCTTCCCTGGACGATTCCCATTCATCCGCCTGTATCAGTATCTAAACGTCTTTACTAGACGCAGTCGATAGACAGAGTTGTTAGATTGGCTGTCGTTATACCTCTCGGACGTTGTGTTGGAATATGAAAGAGTAGTATTTAAAATTACGCAAAGTGTCCTACATTATGCCTGCTAGTGTGAAGCAAAGCTAAACAATTATTCCGCTAAAGAAATTATTTAACCTTTGAATCTCGTAAAACGAACTGCTAAATGTAACTTAAATCACACGATACTCTCCGTGCAATCGTAACGAACTTGAGAACGGTAGTGTCACAGAGCTATGTTTAACAAAAAAATGCACAAAATTCGATCTGGAGAGATGGTACATACACTGGAGAGGTATCCAATTAGAGGTTATAGACTCGCAAATCGCCGCAAATTTATCGAATACACTGAGCCTTTAAGCTTTATCCCACTCTGTACCACCGCAAGAAACCGATACCTAAATACAAACTCGATCTTCAAGTCCAAGGCCTCGTACGTAGTCTCGAACGTGTTAAAAATAGTTGTCATCCGAGCACCAGAAGCTGCGATCATACTCTCTGCCCATGCTGCTACTTTCGATCCGCTGTTCGCCGAGTACAGTAAACGCTTCTCTCTCGTTTCTTTCGATCGTCTGGTTAGTTGAAAAATGCGTGAGACGTGTAAGAGGATTACAAAGGAGCAGGGAATAAAACGCGAAGGGTAACCGTGACGCTTTAAATTCCCTCGATTTCTTCTTCAGAAGTACGCGGCGCGATGCCAAGAAGAGTATATACATAGCGAGCAGTTCGAGGATTTCGGAAAACGCTCGCTGGAATTCTCGCGGAAAATGCGAATTCCTCGGCAGCTAGTTGAGAAATGAGATATACGAGAGGCGCGCCAGATTTTCCGCCCGAGACCGCCGCTCTCGAGGACACCGAATAACAAAGTCGTACACACGCAGGCGAGTCCGCAAGGATGAGGGAGTGGGATTTTTCTGTCGTCTTATTTGCATTGCGTCACTGCGCGCCGCGATTGAATATTTAAACAAGTGGATCGTTCTTTCGTCCAGCTGCGTGTTTCTCGCGCTTCTGAACGAACTGCTTGAACGCTGCGACCTATGGTGTAATTTTAATGTAAAATAATTGCCTTGTCGTGCTTCGCTGTACATTTGCATTATCCAACAGGAACAAGTGGATCGCTCGAAACAGCTACTTTTCGCTGTTAAAATTTGCAACAATAATGACAACAGCTGGGGTGAAATACTTGCACCGGTGAATGGTCGTGATCGTGCCATACCGGTTCGACCGTTCGCTGAATTAATCCGTAAGAAATGTTTAAGATTACGCGAAATCGCGGGACGCGCGCCAACCATCGTTATTGAATAAATTTCTGAGTTTAACGGTCGGCGAAGCGGGCATTATTAAGCAACGGTAGCGTGATTTTACGATTATCCCGTCTTTATAGCGTTCTCTATTCTTCCAGATGGCAGACCGACCGTGTGTGTACCGGTCTCGTAGCAAGTCGTCCGGCGTGTGTATCGAGCATAACGAAACTAGCGTAAAATAATTGCACGACGATCTGAAATTATCGCTTTTACGTGTCACCGTTGCTCTCGAGAGGAGAGCAGCCGCCGGTAAGGGCTCTTTGCTGGCCGTCACGGTGACACGACTGGGGGGAGGGAGGAGGTTCCGACCGTCATAAATATTAATAATGTAACGTTGAGTAAATTGATCGTCGCGCGAGGCCAACAGTCTTAATAAGGCCACCTACTATTACGGATCACCGGTAATGCCCTCGATTACGGGTATCGGCGAAAGAAGAGGAGCCTTAAGATTCTTCACAAGTCTCTACAAGCGTTTGCAATTAATTCGCCGATGCTCACCTCGACAGCCGGTGCGCGCCCCATTAAAATTCCCCGCGGGCTTGCGCAACTTGCTTTCGAATCTCTCTCTCTCTCTCTATCGCGATGCTGCCCGAGAGAACGATTTTCGAACAACGAGACGGTCCTTTGGATGAAATCGTACACACAGGTGAATCTAAAAGAGAGAGAAAAATCGACGCAGAGAGGACTTCTCCGCGCGGTTGAAAGCTATTTATACACGCGCGTGGATTCGAGAACGAGAACCGAGTTGTATCCTACGATTTACGTAGCAGATAGCCCCGTATGAGGCAAGGCCAGTTTCCTGTTAAATAGATTTTTTTAATCGAGCAAAAGTTCGGTGATAGCGGGGAGTGGTTACAGGGACGCTTAACAGCCGCTCGCCTCTCTGCATCATTGTTTCTCACTGCCCACTTAAACGGTACGTGTTTGCACAGTGCATACCGGGTGTTCGTTGCGTCACGCGTTACGTGCGCGTTAGAAAAGCTGGCCTAATGGGCAAATAAGCGACTGACATTTCGTTCGAAAGTCACTTTTGCCTCTGAATAATTCATAATCGAAAGTGAGTACACGGGGGAATTATCGAATATCGCGGTCGTCCTTTATAAATTCCGTCGTTTCGAAACCGATTCCCTCTAGAACGAACGGAACAAACAAATAAATAACAGGCGTGAAAAAACGAAGGAATAATCTTGTGGAAATAGATGGGTGTAGTGTTTCTGTCAGGTTATTCATATTCACCCAGTATTTGCATTCCGGTTTATAAAAGAGGCTTTAAATATCTCTCCCCTACTCCATGTCCAAGTGTCTCCCATTCAATTCACGCATAAATACACACCGTTTGTTTGCCCCGTTCTTTTTTAAACCGGCGCACGTAATTGTGCAATTCACGCACTCGATAACCCCGTTTAATCGATTCACGTATATACGGACACAGACGTGGTGAACGGTGTCCGTGGTTAGCCCGCATTCTTGCACAGCGAATATAGGCAGATATCCAAAGGGTCCGTGGAAGAGCGCGGCGTATTCCACGTATATGCGATATATATTTCGGCTGGAAGGGACGTTAGCTCGTGAAAGAAGGAAAGACAGAAGGCCAGCGCCAACCAGCGACGCCGCCCTCCTGCTGGACACACACGCATTCCGGTGCCGCATTCGCGGGAACCTGGCGAGGCTGGCTGGCTGGCTGGCCGGCTGGTCTGTCTGAATTTTTCTCCGCGGACAAGCGCAACGCTTTTACTGAAACAATGTGGAAAGGCAAGGTTCCAGGCCGTTACCGTGCCTCCTTCTCGATAGATTAATGTATCATATCGTGTTACATTGGCTATAGCACGCGAATTCCCGAGCGATCCGCTCCTTTTTCCGCCTTTTTTCTTTTTCCCCTAGTTTCTCTCTCCACGTGTGATCTCACGATACCGCGGATGGTGATTCGAGTACCGTTCGATCGGGTCGCAGCCTCCGGTAATTCGTTTGATAATGTATACTCCCCGAAGGTTGGGTCGAAGTAACTTTTCAGACGGTAGTTTAATTTACGACGGTAATTTGCTTTCCTGTTCGTCGCTTTTTTCCTCTACCTTGGATCTGTTTAATTTATGCGCGAGAGATTGGCCGTTGGAGACACCGATTTAGAAGTGACGAGACTGCATTTACGCGAGATGAATGAGTCAGCTGGAGACGTGCCGGTCGATCGTGGCGATTTATCGCCAGGGAATGCGCGTTTACATGCGTCTCGTGTCTCGCCTCTGTTAAGCTAGAAGTAACGAACAGTCATTGTCTATTTCGGTTTCGATCACATTTATCCGAGACGTACGTATTTACGTTACAATGGATGTTAAACTCGACGATGTAACAGTACAACTGCGTCAAACCTGAATACCACCGGGTGTCTATGATCTGCTTACTCCGTAACGCAGACACGTCGAATTCCACAAGTGTCTAATTAACAGTTCGCAACATCGGATGAACGTCATCGAACGTTAACGCCTTCTTTGACTCGTAACCTAACTACAGTTTGCATCTTGTCAGATTTCTTTCTATTTGATAAACGACAATTATATCGTGCTTGAAAAATTCTAAATATACAAACAGCAGAGCGATTCGGTGACAGCGTAGGAGAAATCGTGGCGAGGTAAATGAACGTAAAGAATTTCGTGGCTGGAGAGTGCCGAACTTACCTGACCGACACGAAGCGCCACCAGGACCAGGCACAGTACCGACACAAGCGCACTGGAGAACGCGTGAAAATTGGTCCTTCTCACTGGCATTTTTGGCGGAGTGCGTGCCACACTGAACGACCGACTGCGGAACGTGTCACGTTCTTGCCAAGGCTCTTTCTATCAGCCAGACTCACGTCACATTTTCGTTATTTCCCGAGAACAGTCTCATGGTATCGCACGCTTCTGTTCCAAAGAAGTGGTGATCCGACGTTTCGAGGCGGCCACGCGGTACGCTGTTCCCCGTGCGACAGCGGTAGCGCGGACGTTGTTCGTTTGCACGTTTCCGTTTAAGCGAGTCCCCCTCGTGGACGACGTCGACGAAAACCCGATGACTCGTTCGTTCAGGAGAACTGGAAGCGAATGTTATACTGGCGCAATAATGACTGTTCCTCCTGAGCTGCCCCCAGGGACGCTCAGGTGTTCCGAGTTTTTGGTGGGGATAGATCGTGCCGCAGCGGCCATTCCCTTTTCATCCGATGTGTATGCGATCCACGCATTCATGTCTCCGGATTCAGCGATGAGCCGCCGCTGTTTCCCGTGGTTCCGTCGCGAGGCCAGCACTGTGCACGCGGTTCGTCGTTCAGGTAGAGATTCGCTTTACCGACGCGTCTGGGGAATTTCAGAACGTTCGAGAACGTTCCTCCGAAGGAACTCCGTACTCCATTTTTCACTAGGGGTTGACCTTAATTCGTAGAACGTGAATTTCTTTTCTTTTTTTTTAATATTCTGAACATTTCTTTTTACTATTTGCGTTTAATTAAGGGAGTATGTATGCGTGGAAGGAAAAGGTTTTCAGTTCGAAATGGAAGGATTGACACGGTTTTTTGAGAGACGCTCGGTTTAAATAGTCAGGCGCTGGGATATTGACTGGGAAAACGGTGCATCCGCTTTAAAGCTTGAATTTTTAAAATCTTTATCGCTGCGCGAAAGATTGCTTATCGCCGCTTTTTGAATACTTCAACGGACGTTTATCCGTTGTAGTTGTGTGGAATTTTGCATGTGTCGGTAATGCTCGAAGAATAATAATGGACAAACGATTCAATAGATATTGATTGAACGAAGATTGCAGGAATTACAGGACTGCCGATAGTCGCGACGCTTGCAAAGGTATTGTCGCGGTGCCTCGTAAGTTGTCACAATGCGGACAAAGGCGAATATCGGAGACAAAAGGTAGCTTATAGGATGTTTCATTCGTTATTCATGGATGATACGAATGACCATTCAAGACACTGTCGACATCTTTGCAAATGTATAGTACGAGACGTAACGCGATTAGTGTTAACGACGTTCCAACGATTACGTGATTAGATTATCCACGAATTTCGACTAATTAAACCAATTACGTCTTCTAACATCCAGCGATTATCTACGACGTAATGCGGTTGCAAGCTGTACTCAAAGGATACTGGTTCAGAGCTGTCAATTACACAAATTAAAGCTACACCTGATCGAAAATTACACCAAATGTCGTTTCTCGTGTCACGTGCTAACGCTTTTTCACCTGTTCAGAGAGTGCAGCGATCTTTTAATTGGTCCTTCGAGGGGGGTAAAGGTGTCAGCGGTTTACAGACGAAATAAAATTAACCGGTGAAGGGGACACACTTGTCGTGATTCACATTTCCTTACGTAACGAGGTGAGACGTACTTACGTCTGACGCGGAGTACCGACAGGAAGAATATAATCTTAATGAAAATCCACACCGGTCGTCTCACCTTTGAAACTTTTCACTCCGGAAAAATGTTCGCGACCCAGTTTCCCCATAGAAAATGCTGTTGCACGTTTTACCTCGGCACAGAGAAAGAGAGAAAGAGAGAGAGAGAAGAAGAAGAAGAAAAGCAAGAGGAGAAAGAAAAAAAGCGGCGAAAGGGGGTGGAAAAAAAATGGGAGAACGTCGTCTCTCCGCGAGATGAATACTATCTCGCACCTAAAGTAATACGCAAACGCCGAGATTGTTATGAATATTAATCCCATTGTGTACCTGGAGGAACATTTGAAGCGTCGCAGTTGCTAAACGCGGACAGAGGCCCACCGGGACAATGAAAATTTCACTCGGTGGAGAAAGAAGGGTAGATTCCGTCGTTCCGCGTTTTTTCATACGTTACCGAGCTCCGGGGTGTTCGCCTAACCAGCGCAGTTTTCAAACAATAGAAAATTCTATCTCCCGAAAGATTTCAAAGTACGATCTCCATAGGCACAAAAGCTCCGTAAGTGCAACGCCGAGGAATCATGAATAACTGGGTCGCTGCATTAATTCTTTTATGCAGGCCCCGACGTTGCTGTGGAACGTAAAGCCGGTCGAGTGGTCTGCCAACGAGAAACCGGGAAATCAACGTCTCTCTCTCTCTCTTTCTCTCTCGTTACCCGCTCTCTGTAATTATTACAATATCGGAGCGAGAGAGAGAGAGAGAGAGAGAAAAAAGAAGAACCTCTGCCTGTCTATCGCAAAATACAAAAATAGTATTCCACGGTTTCGTTCCCTAGGGTTACGTCCCTTTTTCGTCCTCGAAAGAGGGCTAGGTTTGTCGTGGTTGAATTTTCCAAAAAAAAAAAGAAGAAAAAAATCGTACCCCTATCGAGTGAGAGAGAGAGAGAGAGACGAACGAATGGAAGTAGCACCATAGGAAAACCCCCCAGATGTATCGGTTAGTTGCAAAGCACAATCACGTAACCAGCGTGTAGCCTGACGTTTCATCTTCAGTCGGCCAGCAGGTGGAGCGTGTTTGATGTGCATCGAACGACGTCACCCTGTACAAACACGAGAACCGGGACCGGGCATATCGGGAAACACAGGGGCTCGTCCCTTTTTCCCCTTGTCGTTAGCTCGCGACACAACATGGAGGGGATGATAAGGTGGACGCAAGCGCGAACCTATCGACCAGCAAACCCTCCGGGTAACACCCTCGCGATCCTCGGCCGAGGCTCACTGCTTCACCGGCAAACTAGTGGGTAGTACACGCACGCGACACAGGTGAGTACTCAGCTTCTCGTACCTTGTCTTCTAAGTGTAATAATCTAAGTTAGAAAGTTAAGGGGAGAATTCGATGTAATTAAGATTCTTATCGATTCGAAGGTTATCTCCAGGTCAAGTGAATTTGGGTTACGGATATTTTCCTTTTTTTTTTTTTTTTTTTCGTTAATCTAAGTTAGAAAGTTAAGGGGAGAATTCGATGTAATTAAGATTCTTATCGATTCGAAGGTTATCTCCAGGTCAAGTGAATTTGGGTTACGGATATTTTCCTTTTTTTTTTTTTTTTTCGTAGGGGAGAACGATCGTTCTTTTCTTCTCGATACGATAATTTGGTGCTCGTTGGTACCGTTGTCGGCGTGGACACTCGGTTGGAGTCGAAACGGTCACAGTGTGGTAAAATGGAATGGAGAATTGATTTTTCAGTCGGAGGATATTTTTTTATGCTCCTTTGTCATGCTAGCGGGGGGATTAAATAGATAGTCGATATCGTCTATTCTCGATGGAACGAAGCTGAGGTACTCGTGATGTTTCCAACCTTTCACCGTAAAGATTTGGTCAGATAGGTGTTTCATTAATGGCAGAGAAGGTATTTCACGGAGAGATCGTAGGATAGTGATTGATAATTCGTCGTTTCGTCGGGTAGATACGATGTTGGCCAAGACCGTATTCCGTTTAAATTTACGCGGGAGCTGATAAACGCAACGGTACTATGTTGATCGATGAGTACGCGATAGTAGTTTATGGTGTGCACCGAGTGACGTGCTTGTTCACGCGGCTACGGTGAGTGTTATTTTCACGTGACGTCTCGATTCTGTGAATTTCGTCTCAGTGTCTCTTATCAACCCCTCCTCGTTCTTCAATTCGATTTACCAAAGAACAATATCTATGCACGATTAAAATTAAAAATCCATCGCAACAGAATTTAACAAACTCTACTGTTACTTAGATTTACGCATCAATTACAACAATAAATAGAATAAATTCATTTTAGTAAAGTCACATGTTGTATCAAGTTTGAAAAAGGATCGTTTGGTAGATTACAGAACTACGCCCATTTTATACAATGAAAAGCTAGATTCTTGCCGGTTCAGATGAACGAAGCACAGATATTTCTGTAGATGGACATTTTTTATTAGTCGTAATTGATCAGTGACGGTAAGTACTTTCCAATTTTTGTAATTCTACCCGTAGATGCACGTTTCTGTGTGCGCAGCTTTGGGCGGTCAATGCGCCTGCCCTTTCCTAACACCTAGGGACTCTTCCATCATCGATTATTACTAGAGTCTAAGCTAAACCCCCTAGAGATAACGCGAGCAATACAAATCCATGAAAGTATCGATATACAAAGAGTATCAACATTTGTCTACCTCCGCTAAATTACGAAAAACGCATTAAATAAATGTGTTTCTACATTCGCTCGTACGAATTAAGTACGCAGTGTTCTACGTCCAGTTTCGTCAATATTTGAACGAAAGGGCGCGCCACGAAATCTATCGATTCGAAACTTTCTATCCTTTCGTCGACGATTCGGGACTCCGCGACGGCGTTCAAATTGAAAACAATCGTGGAGCTCCGTTAATCGATCGGCGTCGAATTTCCGGTTCCCTTTAAATCAGTAATTAAATTACGCCCAACGAAGCGAGATACCTCGTGACGGGGTGAAAAAGTTTCAGAAGGTCACGGAGAGAGGGAGAGAGGAAAGAAAATCGAAGAAACTGGGATGGAAATTCGCCGGGGGAAGACGTGAAATTTGTCGTGGGCTGATTTGAAATTCAATTAAGGGATCCGTGGCATTAATTGAACGCAGACAGTTCGCCAAGCTGTCATGCGCAGCGGTGAACACGGCGTTGGTTCAAAGTTTCCCGAGCGTCGTTGATTGGAAAATGCGAAGACAGGCCCCTGGAACTTGCAACTTCCATCGAGGAAACTTTTCTTCCACGTTTCTTTCCAACTTTTCGCGATCCAACTTCTCTCTCCGTCTTCCGTAACTTTCATCTAAACGGCGCTGCTTCGTGAGACAGCGTGTAGCAGGTGTACGAGCAACGGCACACTCTAATTTCGAGGAATGTCAATTGCTCCGAGCAACGAACGGCACTCTTACTCGCGGAGAATTCGCCTTCGTTTAATACCGCTTCACGTACAAAAGTTTCCACGAGGTGGTAACCGGTTATCGGACTGTCGATTCGACGATTGCAGGTGGGGAATTCACGGGAGGAATTCTCGAGCGAAACTGTGTGAAAAATCCTCCAGCGTGTTAAGTCACGCTGCGCGGTATCGATCAGCGGAATATCAAGCTCTACTTTTGCTGTGCTAAATTTCTGCGACGGGTCTCCATCTCTCGCGCGCTCCGAGTGCCGCTCGCGTGGACGTTTTTATCATGCACCTCGCACGAGAGACGTCGTTGTTCTTCGTTAAGAACGTACGGGTTTAATTATAGAGCTGGTTGCAGAAGAAAATAGGGACAGAACGGAGTTTCTTCTCGTTTTACATGGCGAGCGTGTTTCTATATGGTTCGATAAGCTTTTTTATATTGTTTCAAATAGATTAGTGTCTTGGAGGAGAGGATATAGCGGATGAATCGAGGATAACGCTTTGTCCTTTCTTCTATAGTAAGACATTATCTCCTTTACGTAATCAGTACAGCGTGCGCCATTACGTAAGGGATGTTTATAAAGTACGACCATTAACCCTTTGGACATCGATTGAATTCCAAGGGATCTTCCGGGTGAATTTAATCCTTGATTAGAGACCGCTTGGCTAAAAGATGAGTCTGAATTTTTATCACTATTGTAATCGTGTGGAGAATTTTAGAAGCTCTGGTGACAGAGTACCCTCGATTTGCAATAAACAGAAATTCATTAACATACAAATATACATCAATAAATAAAATTTCTAATCCATCTAGACGATAGAACAGAATTTCTCTAAAAAGAACACTCGATTCAAATTCGTCAAAAGCACCCTTCCGTCTGATTTTACTTTCGCGACAAACCAACCACTCTCTCGATTCCACGAAGATCCCCTCGTCGCGTGAAAAAGTTCATCTGTAACTAACCATCGATCACCGTTCTTCCCATTCGCAGATTTCAACTTGGATTATTTAGTTTCTCCTTCCTCACCTCTCTTATTTCATCCTTTCCTTTCGGATTACCTTACGTTCAAGTCTTATCCCGCAAATCTACTTGGCAAAGTGAAGAAAGAAAGGAAACGGGGACGCACGTATCACCGAATCGGTCGAACGTCGTCGAGCAGAGCCACGTCCAAATACACGCACCCTCCGCCCCCGTTGCCGCCCCGTGACGACCACCTGGAGAACACGAGGATCGTGGCGTACGCGAGAGATCACCCGTGCGGCCAACCAGAAGCCTGCGGTTTTCGTGAGGGGGACGAGGTCGGAGTTAAACCAGCAAGATTACCGGCCGCGGCGGTTGCGCCAAATACTGTGGTACAGCTCCTTCACCCGGCAACATTTCATTCTCCAGCTTTCGACAGTCCTTCACCTCCAATGTTAACTACCTGAAACGGAGGTGAGTGCCTGACATGTTCTGTCGAACCGCGAGACAACAGAAGCCTCTGTCTCTTAACGTTTGCATGCTCGATAACACATTTGCATCGATGGAATTCTTTGGAACTTTCCCTTCTGCCCAGGCTCGACAGACTCGAGGAATTTCGAAAGCGAAAGTTGAGATGTGTTGAGATCTCTCTCAGACGAGATGTCTTCTTTCCTTCTCTCCTATCTTTTTAGAAATAATTCGCTCGAGTGTTGCGCCGAGAAGCTACGCGGAAAATATTTGTCTTCTCGTCGAGCTTTCGTGAAGAAAAAGAAAATCTATGGTTTACTTCAGCGCCGGTGAGAGATTAGCATCTCTCTGTTAGCGAGGAAAATCGTCACTTTGTCCCGTGTGTACATCGAGGATGCTTAAAACTGTGCGCAGAGTAGCTTGGAGCCGTGTACATGTGAGACAAAAGAGTTTTTTTCGGGTCGTCGGACGACAGATGCTCCGCAGAGGAGCGCATTTGTCGCGCCGCGTCCTTTCATCGAAGCCGTAGACGGTGCAACATAATAGCGGGCTAAAATAATGAACGGCTATCTTGATACAAAGTTGGCCCGGAGGCGCGTCTGTATTTTCGAAGCGGCGATGCGTCGTTTAATATCCACGCGGTTTAAATTGCCCGTTCAATTAACCGTGGGCAGGCTATCTGATTTATCCATTGAACTATAATTAACAACGGCGTTCGAGATTCGCGGGACGCGAAACGGTAGGCCGGTAATTTTCAACCCTTTATTACCCCCGTGTCCTCTATCATTCAATTAAGCCCAACCCATTTTTAACGTTAACTTAATTATCCTTCCGGACGAGAGACGAAAGTAAAGGGAGAGGAAGAGAAGCGATAAGTTTCCAAAAGTATCTCGATGTTCTCTATTCACGTTTCGTGCAAATCTCGATGTGCTGCATGCAAATTTTGTCTCGAGAGAACGCTTTTTCGCATCTCTGCAACATTCCAGCCTGAAGCCTTAAAAAAAACGCACACACACACACACACTTTCGATATCGACGCTATTCAACGACGTGAAAAAGAGCCATACACAACATGCACACACACACACACTTTCGATATCGACGCTATTCAACGACGTGAAAAAGAGCCATACACAACAATCTCACAGTTTAATCATAGTCCACGTTTAGCATCATTTCTAGATACCAACGAATCACGTGCTCGAATGTTTAAGAATACTCTAAGCTTACCAATGTGTCGCATTCCATGTCGTCACGGTTTTACCACGAGTCGTTGTACCAGACACGGAAAAATCGGGAACCTGTCGACTGAGAAAAATCGTCATTTTCAACGTAGCAAAAGCACACGAGCCGCTGGCTCTCTCATCGAGCCGCATTTCACGCGAAGCCAACGCAACCTGGCTACACGTATTCCGCCCTCCCTCGTAAAAACAGAGGGGAAAAAAAAGCAGGGGGCATCAGAAGCGAATACGTCGTCGCCGTCGTCGTCGTCGCACATCCCGTGTCACGCATGCAAAACCAGCAAAAAAACAGCAATCGTCCATCATCGCAGACGCGCCATCTTTACGCCACATACTAGTTCCGAGCACTTGGCTGTTCGATGTGTGCATTGTTATACGAAAAAAAAAAAAGTGCAATGAAAGAATCTATACGAACGTGCAAGCAATAAAAAGTATGAGAATGCCAATGAAACTAAAGAATTGCGTGAAATCAGGGGACGATCCGACCGATTACCACTATCACGACCACCACCATAGTTTGTCTTCTAGGTTCTCGTCAGGAGACTTGAGCTCGGAGTTCGACGATGAACCAAGCACAGACTCCGGGGTGGCCTCCATGGCCAGGGATTCGTCCCAACCGTATCAAGGGGTGCCAGAGCGGCCGTTGCAGTCTCAACCGACTCCAGTCCCGCCGGCAAGTCAGCCACCGGTACCAGGAGCACCGCCGCCTGGACCACCGCAACCCGTCGGCGGTGATCTCAGCCTGAACCTGAGACCCGGATCGAGAACAACCAGTGCCCCCTCCTCGCCGGCAAAGACACGGGAAAGTTTGTTCCAGAGAGTGCAGAGTTTGACTGGAGCTGCTCGTGACCAGGTTGGAATTTTTTAATTGGACGATTTGATTAGCGAGAGTAGATTTGTGAGGATTGAACACCTTAACGCTGATGCTCGTGTCTTAGACTTGCACAATTCGTCCTCCAGACTTCTTTCACTTCTCGTGTTCCGCTGTTCTTCCTATTCTACTGAAAAATCGATGTCGCAGCATTGCAAATAAATGGGAAACTTATTTCTAAAAAACGTTAAATCTCGTTTTTAAAAATAAGAAAAGTGCATAAATATCGAATATTTTAAGCAGATGAAATAATTTTCTTCTCCATGCATTCAAATCACTTACACAGAAAGCGTAATATTAAAAAAGCGGGAAAAATAAATTTATCCTCATCGAGACAAAAATTTGTACCGAAGGTACGATAACTTCCATGATTAAATTTCATCTCGGATTTAAACATAATCTACACGTAGGCGGCCATTTTTGTACGGTAGCGCTCCCATATGTGAAATGTACCTCCCAAGAAAGTGACGTGAACTGGATTTGGGGCTGAAATTACGTTCTTGCATGTTCTACGCGATATATAGCCTTTCCAATGCTTTCGAAGAAATACGTGGGCATTCGCGTGTCCGAGATGCCATCAATCTCTTCGGTATGCATTATCCTGTTAAAAAGAGTATACCTGTCTGTGAACGTTTCTCGTTTACATTGTACTATAAACATAGCCTTAAAAAGAAAGTATAATACGTACCGATGAAACTTTTTCAATTTAATAATTTCCACTTGCTTATTTTCATCTCTCTTCTATACACTTAGACTAATTGCAAGAGAAAGCAGCTACGTGATTAATTATGTACAATTTCGATTGCAATCAGGGTGCTTCTATTTTGGGAGCAGCGGTGTCAGGAGCGACCAGAGGACCTTCTTACAGTAAAGATCGATGTTTCACGTTATTGGTGATCGACGACCAGAACACCGACTGGAGCAAATATTTCCGGGGTCGCAGGCTTCACGGCGATTACGAGATCCGCGTGGAACAAGCGGAATTTCGGGAATTGTCGTTGACTGCGAGCGAGGCTGGCACTGTCGTCTCTATGGCGGTTTATCGAAACGGAACCAAAGTCATCCGGTACGTTATCACTTCAACTTTCCCACTCTTTATCCCCCGATTTTTTCGCATATTTATAAACAAAGAGAAAAATTCTGTCGATAGATCCTTCAAGCCTGATTTCGTCCTGATACGACAGAATCTGAAAGACGCCGGAGAGGACTACAAGAATCTTCTTCTCGGTTTAATGTACGGCGGTGTTCCGAGCGTTAACAATCTCACCGCAATTTATAACTTCCAGGTAAGCACTCCAGTCGACGTAACAATTCTCGCGGAAGCACCGGGAATAAGAAGAACGATTAAGAAGTTGGGGTTATATCTGGGAGAGAATGGAGTTTCTTAATCGAGCTTCTTCTTCCAGGATAAACCTTGGGTGTTCGCGCATCTATTGGGACTTCAGCGTCGTTTGGGAAAGGATAACTTCCCTTTGATCGAACAAACTTACTATCCTAATCACCGTGAAATGGTGAGTAACTGTAGATTTTTGTGATAAAAGTGTGTGTCTTTTTGGTCCTTTCAACGAGTTCGTGTATGGAAAGAAGGAATATGCGTTTCTCGTTTATTTCCCATCGTTCAAGTATCATAATACTTACAAAAGTTATCAAATGGAAGAACTAAGGCTAACATATATCGTTTCGAGTTACGTTCTCGTGCTAGGAAATGCCAGCTAACTTCCGTTTGTACTAAAGTTCTACCCATGTGCAGGGTTCCGGTGTATCTCGTCGATGTCGACGAGGAAACGAATATGCAGTTCGCAGTTTAGAGAACCTAACTTGATCGGAACATTTCTACAACTTCGTACATTTCTCTGTGTAGCGAGACAACGTGATCGTTGTTCAATCAAAATTATACTTCTTCGTGTTTCGTTCTTTTCTCAGTGTTGCGGAATCTTTTCATGAAAAGAAAACAGTCGACGTATTCGGAGACTTGTACGAAGCTTCTCTATAAAATTAAATACGATTTTAGTAATTTCTTATGTAAGAAAGGACAAGGCTACGTAAAATGAGAATAATTTAACAAATGCAATAATATACATCAAATAGCCTAATATGTACAACTAAAGAGACGGCCAATCGATGCTGAAAGCGCGCCTGCAATTTCAGATTTCCCTAAAAAAATCAGTCGATTTACAGTTGCAGTCGAGCTTGTCGAACGACTCGATCGTACGAAACGAGGTTAGTAGCTGGTGGCTACTCTTGCCGTGGAGGCGGTGATAATAATTTCAACGAGACTCGTTTTCTGAAACGAATCCTGAAACATCCATTCGTCGATGATTCCAACGTGAATAAATTAACTCGTCGAGTTAAACGTTTGTTGTCGAAAACGCGGGGCAATTTTAGCGGCGAATGAAATAAATAGCTGCAACGACGACCAATTGACATGGCGTAGCAAACGAAAGAGAAGGAAAAAAAGGTTCGTTTACGTTACAAATGCAACCTCGAATCGTGGAGAAAAAGTAATTTATCCATGGAAATGCAAGCAGTGTCGAGAGTTCGTCGGATTATATTGTACCCGTTGAACAGAGAAACGGGGCGATCTCTCCCCAAAAAACAGCACAAACAACAGCCGTCGCGTGTACGATTTTTTTTCTCAACCGTTCAATTTGCTGCTTCGTGTTTAATTAACGAACAACTTTTGTACTCGTCCACGCACAACCACCCGATATAATACTTCTGACGGAACGCAACAATAAATAGAGTAGTATGTCGCGGTGCAGAAAAATGGAGAACGTCGCGTTGTCGAGAAATTAATGCCTCGCTTTTTCTTCGCAAAAAACTTCTTTCTTCGAAAACTCGTTCAATTAGCACACGCGTCGTTTACTTCGACGATCGGTTTAAACGAAGTCGAACGGAAGAAGCATTAATTTGTCGACTTGTTTCAACGCTGTTCACCGCACACACACACACAAACACGCGCGCGCGTTTCACACACGAAAGAAGAAAATCTTGCGGTGTGGATCTAGCGCGAGCGACAGATTTTACAACGGGCATAGAGCAAATCGAAGCGTGTGCTACGTGATCTGGCACGAGCAACGTCGAATTCTCGTGAACGATCTTTACTTTTTGTTTTTTTGTTTTTTTTTTGCTTGTTTTTATTTTTCGTTTCAATCGAACAACTCTAACCCGGAACGGAGTTTAGAGTTCTCGCGTTCTTGCTTCTGTTGGGTCAGTTGTTTCTGCTGGTACTCCTTGATGCAGTTCTTGTACGGTACAGAGTGGAACCAAGAACATCCGCCTGATATTGGCCTGCAGATACCATAATTCGTCTGGCAATTCTCCGGGCCAGGTC